AATTTAAATGTAAATTGATGAATTTTGAGAGTAAAGCTTTTAACTATTAGTGTACCTCGACTTGCAAACATACCTTTACTTGGCTGATCTTGTTCACTCTTTATCTCTGATTCTGGTATCTCGTTCTGAATCATCACCTGCAGGAAGTCGCCTTGAATCTGGATCAACACAGGGAGCATTCAGCATTGACACAAAATGCATAAAATGTGTTACGTATATTTGTGAGATGCACCACCCCACAGTCCCTATGGGTTTAAAGAAGTAGATCTACATTTTAGGAAATCTGCGTATTCATTACCTTGGGGAGAGTTACATGAGAAGATTGACACCAATTTCATGTCTGCCCATTAGACCAGGACGGTTAGCTTAGCTTAGGGTTAGGGTTCCCAGGGAACATAGGACCCGGGGAACATAGACACGCTCCCGAGGCTGCAGTGTTCCTACTGGACCTTTTTCACAGCAGCCATTTTGACATGCAATACTAGGGTATACATACTAGGTATAAAACCACATGCAGTCACTTCATGGAGTCTTCAAAACAAACAGCAGATGTTTCAGGAAATTAGTCCGACACATAACCCCCTGTAAAACCTCAACTTTTGTACTTTGTACTGTTTTTGTACTAATAAAACAAACCAGATGTAACATGTTAACTCACAAGCTTTAGAGGTGCTGGCAGCTGGATTTTGTTACCTTTTAGACAGACTAGCTGATTCCCCATGTTTCCAGTTTTTATGCTAAGCTAAGCTAACTGACTGCTGACCCTAGCTTTATATTTAGCATACAGATATGAGAGTAGTATCAATCAATCAATCAATCATCTAAATGCAGATGAAATGCTTACAGATTCATCTGCATGATGCTGGTCTTTAAATCTCTTGATGATCTTGTAGAAATATTTCAAGCCGGTTTTGGACACTATGCTGATATCCAGGAGCTCCAGCAGACGGGCCCCAAAGGGAAACATCACTGAAAGGAGAACAAAGGCTTGTTGCCAAAAATGTGCACACTAATGGTCACAAGGTGCTTGTATAATCAAAAGATCTCCATCTAAAACAGAAGTGAAAGGACAACGTACTTAGTAAAAGTAAAAGCCAAAATCGGAATTTAAGGAGCTTCTTGATATGAACAGTATTTGGGTCATCTGGATTGTTTATAGAGTCTGCCTCAACACTGAAAGACGCACTGGTCACAACATCCAAACTGTAAGGTCCCAGAAATCTGCAGCAGAAGAAAAGAGAGATGGTTTTCTTTTAGGAATTGAAATGGAGTAATGATTTATGTAATGATATGATGCCACATAACAGATTAACGACATACTGTTTGACATCGACGGGTTCATCCAAATTTGTTGTTCCAAGTTTTTCAATGAGCCGGTCTGCATAACGAGCAACGATGGGAAAAACCTCCAAAAAAAGTTGCACATGTAGACATATTAGTTTGTATTGCTGCACGAGATAAGCAGATTGCAGAAGTGAACTCGGATATGATGCTGACCTGTTTCAGTCTTCCACTGGTGAAGCATGGTGACAACGTGCTACGAATTCTTCTCCACCTTTCATCTTTAACTGCTGTAATTGCATCGCTAAACGGGTCCATTACATTTTCCTGTGAACATGAGTACAGTTAAAAGGGAAACTACACTGAGTGTTGTGAATAAGCATTTTGTTTGTATATTGCCGAATATTGGATAACATAACAATGCGATACCGATGCAATACCAACATGTCTGTGATA